AAGAAAACCACAACTTTGGGTTGTGACAACTTTAATTTCATCTTCTGCTTCAAATCTAGCCAAGAGCAGTAGCAAGCTTGACAAAGGCCATTGAACAGGTTCTTTGTGAAATGAGTTTGGCTTGCACGCCTCAATCTAGTTCCTAGTGGATAATTGTCTAGAGCTAAACCGTCACTACCTTTGGCCCTCTTTTGTCAGCCAGGGGGACCAAAGGTCTGAGTGGACTATTGCAGTGTACTGTACTGTACTCCCTAGGGCCTACGTTATCAGTGCTCTGTCATTCTTCTTTCTTTAAACTACAGTGTGTTGCTGTAGGGGTGTTCTGTTGTAGGTCTTTGGTTAACACTGCCTGTCCACACTGAGCTAGTCAGGACCAAGTGTCACTGTCCTGGAAACTAAGATGCTTTCCAGTTCCAGTCTGAGGGCCACTGGAAGCTGTGTGTTGGGAAAGCTTATTTTTCTGGTGTCTTTGGATGGTGGATAGGGAGATAATTTTTGGCTGGCTTCCAAAGTGGTGAGAAATCCCAGGTCCTTCTCTTTTAGATGCTCAAGAAGTATCTTAAAATGTCTGTCTTCACGAAAGGCATGGGCTTAACTTCCTGAGCACCCGGTCCCTCTGAGGCATGTCTACTTGGGCACCTACAACTGAGGCACTGAAAGTCACTAGGTAGTTTGAAAGCATTGGCCTCGCTCACAGTTATCAGTTCACCATCTTTCCTGAGTGCTAGCTTTTAAATATATAATTTCAACTGGGGGAGGTGAGTGATACTGTTTGCTTCTGATTAGCTGTAGCTACAGTTGTCATTTTAATGTCTTACTCAGCAACACAACACTACTGAAAATCAAGTTCTTGGAACAGAGGTTCCATTCTTCAGTCCCATATATGTGTAAATTGTTAACAAGTTTTACTGTGAGTATGGTGGCAGGTGACCCATATAATTGTATCTGGAAAGAGCATAATGGCACATAGTTTCATAGGTTCTACAGTACTCATTGTGCTTGTTCTGACCTTTGAGATGCTTGTCAGCACGTTCTGTATGGGTTTTTAAACAATCCAGTAAGAGCTAATGTAAAAGGCAGATATTTTTCAGGCCATGGGTGAGCAGAAACTGAGAGAGAGCTCCTTATCCAGAGAAGCCATGCGAGTGGAGAGAATACTGGTCACACTGAGCTGGAGACTTTTAAGGGCTAGGACAAATGTAATTAACCCTCTTTACTATTGCCAGTAGTGGGGCATTCATCAGTTTATTTCAAAGCACTGTACAAACGTGAGTGAAGTATATCTGTGTCATAGATTGAGGTTCTGAGGCCTAGAGAGGTTAGAGCGAGTGGCCGGGGCGTTTCAGTGGCAGACTAACGTGAAGTCCCTTTCATTTTATCGTTGACCATTAACGATGTCTGAAATGCAGACTCAAAAGAGATAGGTGATGCTTAGAATTATTTACACCAAAGGAATGGATTCCACACCATGTTACCTTTTCTGCACAGATCCTTTTAGTCTGTCCATCATTGTAGGTCTGTGACCGACACTGGCTTCCATCTGTGGACTCTGACAGACTGAAAGGTCAGGGCAGAGTTGGATATAAAACCCCACAGCTTGGCATGTTAGAGCTCATTGTAATCACTGACCCGGTAAAACCTCACTGATGTTTACACAGAAGCATGTATGCTAACACACGCCACTTAGCTATAATCTTTAAAGGTATCTGTGTTCTGGATATGTTTTAACGTGCCTGTCACTGTGGAATCCAGATGCTAGTATTGACAAGAACAGAGATAAAATTCACTTTAATGGATAAAATTACACTTAACTACCTTGATTCAATCTGGCAGAAAGAACATAGTGTTCAAATAAGCAGCATATAATGTATTATTTAAGCAGCAAGGAAGGAGCAGCCCTCTGGAGCAGAACAGGTTTTATAAAGTCACTCCCTATACAACCAAAACCACCCAAGCAAAGATGGTGGCAGACAGGCTCCTCCATAAGTAACAATGAAATTAAAATTCTTAATCAGCAGGATGCTGCTGCCAATGATTTAAAAAGATGCATGTCTTGGGGATTTGAGAAAAGTGCAACCAGTGCTGCAGTGGTAATGTCTAGGAGTTGCTGCTGTGGACCAGACCCTCTTGTGCTAGATAGTGTACAAGCACAGAACAGAGGTCCTGTCCCAAAGAGGTTATATAATGTAAGTATCCAGCATCCCTTCAGAATAAAACGTCTTTGAAGCATTTGAGGTATTATCATATATCTCTTTGCTCTGCTTGTCCGATAGCAGGTTCCCCTAGTGTCAGCCTCTCCGTTATCTCTCCGTTATCTTTTTGCACCCCCCAGCAGCCATTTTTAATGGGAAGACTCGTATTTCTCATAGCCCTTTAATTCTGGCAGTGTTTGCCCAGGTCAGTCTCCTTTGTATCATCCCTGGTTGTAGTCATGTTGGGGCCTGGATGTCTTGTTTTTGCACGTAGCTTCTGATCCTCTAGGAGTCTGGGGGTAGAGGAAGTGCTCCATGCTTTGACAGTTGTGGGATCACAAATAGAATGTTGGAGGATTTCTAATTGTATTAACCAGAAGGTTGAATTGTCCTAGTTCTTCTGAGATCACTGAGGCTAGAGTTCCTGAGTACAGAACTGGGACCATGTAGGCTGTGTTTACAGAACTCCAGGGGTAATATTTCTGTAATGGGATTCTGTCTCAGTCACTATGCTCAGGATTGAAAATTAGCATCCCTGGCCTGAAACACAGTGGTTTGACCTGCACTATCAATTTAGATTGGCATTCATTGGTAGCTGTTTGGTGTAGAATGCATTACAGAATACTCTGAAGACTCTCGTGTATAATTTAGTATCTTCATTTTCTATGCAAATAAAATCATAATTTGAGTGAGAAAGGGAAAGCATTGAGCTGTAGACCCTACTCATGACAGAGTGTAACCCTATTGGCTGCGTCCAGACAAGTGTGGCTCTGTGGTATGTCGTGCCACATACCACACATTTAACTGCTATCTGTGCTGCAAGGTGGGGGGTTGAGCCCTGGCTATCCAGGGGGCAGAAAAACCCACAGAAAAAAAGCAGAGCGGGCCACATGGGAGCAGTGTGCGCCACTCAAAACTGGGCCCCAGCTGCCAGCCAGGCTCCACGCGGCAGGATTGCCACTGCTGCAGCCCCAGGAGGATCCCCAGGACCCCAGGTCAGGCTGCTGGGGGCAGTGCAATATTGTCCCCAGCCTCTACTACCTGCCAGAGGGAACATGGCACAGGTGTTCCCCAGGGACAACTAGTGGTGGAACAAGGTGTGCCACTGCTAATTCTCCCCAGGGAATCAAGCATCCACGCACATGTGAATGCAGCTTTTGAGGCCAATAGCAAAACTTCTTCATCTCAAAAAGACCAGCATTTCATCTTCTGTGTCTCATTGGAAACATGTTATAAGTGTGTACATATCCTTGGCCACATTGCAATCAGGTCTTCTTCACAGTGCAGGCGTTTTCTCTGTTGAATTGTTTAGTCAGCGCCTGCTTGGGATCTGTTCCAGTAGCATACTGCTGGCCAGGGCAGGGACTGTCCCTGTGTGGTACAGGATCCAAGACAATAGAGCTTGTGACTGGACTCTTAGTGTGCCACTACAGTGTGCACCCTGAACATGCGACAAGGTAGGGGCGAGGTTCCAGCCACATGTCCTGCTTTGCTTAGGCATGGCTAGAATCTTCTTACCGGAGATTGAGATGTCTGGTACCCAGCAAATGGTCCTGCCTCTCCAGCAGTTCCAGCAAGCATGCTTTTAGTGAGAGTTATGCTGTCTAAGCAGCAGCATTAGTCTAATGGGTGACAGCTGGCCATTAACAGGCCAGCTTCAAAGAGGTATGTTTTAGTTCCTTTAAAATAGACAGTCCCAGTACTCTCTTGTTAGAAACAAATGCTGTTTCATTGCATCACTGATTTACTTTGAGCATCAGATTCTGGGGTGATGGGCTGAATAAGAAATCTGGACCATACTTCTTGGCTTTGCAAAGGTACTTTTCGCTCTGTTCTAATCCTTTTGAATCAGGTTGTGAGATCTTGTCTCCTTCCCAGATTCTCTCTGCCTCCCTGTACCCCGGCCCTCCTTCCCCTTTTCGGGAGTGCTCAGTTCCAACTCCAAGGTGTCAAAGATGGAAGTAGCCTAATTAACAGAAACACTGTTTCAGAGATGAAAATAACGATGTCCATGTTCTTGTGAACCACAAGTGGACTGCTTTTAGAGCTTCAAGTCCGAAGTAACAATGAGTAATAAGCATTTGAATTGATGTCCATGCCACACTTTCTAGTAAAGGCTCCAGAGCAGGTGGTGATGTCTGACTTCTAGTGGATGACAATTTGGCCTTATTTTTTAAAACGTTATTTGTTTCCATCAGGGATTTGAGAAGTTTGGGCTTTGACATAGTAGCAGATCTCATATTGCATGGCATGCACAGTGACAAAAAACGAAAAATACCATCTCATTAAATACCACCACTGAGTTGCTGCTTTAGATTAGTACGCAACAGGTAAGTCAGCAGTAGTACCCAAAGTAAAAGTCAGTGATGTATCCATTACTTTAGGAAAAGCAAAGTTGGTTCTATGCCCTGTTGAGAGTAATGGAGCTAAAAGCTTTCAAATTCACTTTATTGCCATTCCCTACTTAAAAAAAAAAAAAAAAAAGGCAAGTTCACTTTTGAGTAACAGGGTAACACTTTTGAGTAACTTTTGAGTCCTTCGTTATGCTTGGTATGGCACTGTGTGCAGCCTTTGAAAGTAGTAAACACAGCTTTTATAGGGTGAACAAGGATGACTTGTGCTTTATTCAACTACGCAAGCTTTCAAGATGACTAGATACAGCCAAATTTTCAGAATCTAGTGAACATCCTGGGATCCAAGGGAATATTCTTGACTGTACATTTTATCTAGACAAAGAATAGCACCATCTAATCTTTTCTAAGCACAGCCTTAGCAAACTTAACTGACCAAAATTTTCTTTTTAAACAGGTTCAGTATTTTTTCAAGATTCTTGACAATTAAAATAAAACAGTAGAACATGGACAAACAGCTATGGTTTCATTTCCCGAAGAGGAAAAAAAGCCACAAAGAGGTGTGTGTGTGTGTGTGTGTTCATTCATTTATTTCTCCAATGTTTTAACCTGACTGAAATACAAGATCAACAAGAGCACTGTACTCCTGGCTATTATTACATAATGTTAGAACATAGAGGCTTGCACTTTAGACAACATTTAACACCATTCTATGGGGTACTGCATTGCTTTTATAAAGTTTAAAATAAAGATTTATTTTCACACATGTGACTTTGGTTTATTTCATACATTACACTTTCTTGCAGAAAAAATAAAATTGTACAACTGCATAAATATAAAATTCTTCCACCATGAAAATGGTTAAAACATTCAATAAAGACATTAGCACCACACTGTGTGATGCCTCGGGGGGAGGGGGGAAAGGAGTGGGGGGAGAGAGAGAGAAAGAAAGGAGAGAGAGAGAGAAAATACACACAAAACCAAAATAGTTTTTTCCTACCACTGATGAGTGATAGCCTGACCCAGGTCTCACACACAACATACTGGAAGATGAGGGGAAAGGTGGAAAGAGACAGCATTCGCTACAAAGCACAGTACACAATCACCTAGTTTTCTTTTAGCTTTACTTAAGTTAGTTTTCCCTGCCACCCCTCCAAATAAGAATACCCTAACACTACAGGAAAATAAGAAGGCTCTATGGAGTGCTGTTAAATAGTCTCACAGGTGGGCCTTTATGTTTAAGAGGGGGGAAAAAAATTAGAGTATCATGCCAGTTCTAGTCCCATGGAGTATTTACACCTTGGACACCAACATTTTTGCTCACAGAAAGTAGAAAACAAATACAATACATGGCTTGGAAAAAAAAGTGACCAGAGTATGCACCTATAGTACTGTACACTAAATAAAATACACTAGGCAGCAATACTTAGGGGCCAGAAACACTGCTTACTACAAGTCAGTTATGGAATCATAATTTACAGTAAAAATGGGCATGTCCCAAGGCTCAATTGTTTTCTTTTGTCATTTACAGTAGAATAAATATTTAAATATTCCTGTCGCTATTGCTACACTTTAAGTTTACATTCTAACCTAGTAAATGCAGAAAGCTAGTGTAAAGCATATAGATTACGTGTAGGTCCCATACGTATGACAGTTTGTTCAAGACTAGTAGGTTTTTTTTGTTTTGTTTATTTTAAACTTTTAAATGGCTAGGAGGATGGGAAAGAAAAAATGGTGCTTATGATCAGCTGCTCTTTATGTCAAATTTAACATCGAAGCGTCCCTGGAAACGGTCCTTGTCACTATAGTGAATGTTCTCACCGTAGGCCTTGCACTCTATGCGGACTTCTGTGTCAAAGGTCAGGTTAGTGAACTGCACTGCCACCAGGGGCTGGCGATAATCTGGCTGGAGGATCTTGCCATAGTATGGGTAATATTGTAGAGGAAAGCCAGGAAATCCCCCCAGCCCGTAATATTCTACAGTGCCTAGTTTAGACACATCATCTTCTTTCTAAAGAAAGGGGGAGGAAGGAAAAAGAAAAAAGTAAAACGCCACTTTGCAAGCAAATTCCAGCACTGTATCCAACCACTGATCTTTGAGCAACTGAATTTTGTTTAGCCCTTGAATGCAGTCTGCATATTGCACAGAATATTTTCATGTCCTAAGGGATAGTGAATAAGTCTAGATAAACTGGAAAAGGAGTAGAATTTGTTCGGGGAAGCATATCTGACATCAGGATGACTGTCCCCCCCTTTTTTTTTTCTTTTTAAGAAGTACTTCTCTACAGTTTCAGCAGTTCTGTTGTCACCTTGTACCATTGAGCTGCTGTGGTACAATCCACACTGCTCCACCCTGACCACTTGCATCAGTTTTATACACAAGAAAGGTCTGGGATTTTAATATGCAAGAGACAAGTTTGTGGTTGGTATCTTTTACTGAACCAACTACATGGCTGGGAGAGATTTAGATATGCTTTCAAGTATCACAGTATCCTTCCTTGGGTCTTTAAAAGATCTTAGAAAAGTTGACAAGAAACATGCTATTTCTTAATAAATCTAAGAGAAGGAAATATTTCAGAAAGTTAACTTTTTGCCACTCAGTCTGGTCTCCACAAATTGCTTGTGTGAAGAGCTCCATATGTTTGGGAACAGATATTGCAACCAAGTCTCTACTTTTGAGAACTAGCTGGCTGAAGAGCTTGAGAGGATGCCTTTAGTTTCCAGTTCATCCTTCTCCAAGCAGATTAGGTCAGTGATTGTTTTCAGTCACCATTCCTTTGGTCGGTGTCTGAGCTGGTTGCCTCAATCCAGTTCCTAATGGGAAGATGTTCCCAGCATAAAGGATTGGATCTGTTTGCCAGCAGAAAGGCAAATAAATGAGTGGACAGTTAGAGCTGGCTCATGTTTCAGGAATGAGGCAAACTTAAATTCTGTTCATGCCTAGAATAGACAGTACAAATTCAGAATTTCCTCCACCCCCAGAGCATGGCTTTGAACCTTGTAAGTCTGTTACAATGCAAAAGCAAAATTTGGATGGTGCATGTCATGAATTTGGCTTAGTCTACCCTTTGCAATGGACTGATGAGAACCAACATTTGATATTTCCACTCCACGTTTTGAAAGATATTGGATTCTCATAAGAAGAAGCAACTGTTTGCCTGTCCAGAATTTAACACAAGAGACATAGACA